TTCCAATTCTTCTGCGCCTTTTGGCTCTCCCAGTAAAGCATAGCAAAAACGAAACCCATTCCCATGGTCCTTGTATGTATGGTCCCCTACAACATGCACCAAACCGCTCAGCGCCGCGACCTATATGACCTCCCTTGTTGGCTCAAGTACAGTGTGGGAGTCTAAAATCCGCCAGCTCTCTTCCCTCCGCAAAGTTCATGCAGCTATAAGGTTTTGTTCGGGAAGAAATGCGTGTTGAAGCGTGTTGAATTTGCCCATTTATTTCTCTCCTACTATAGAAGATTTTCCAACACAGTTTTAACTATTAGAAAGAGATTTTTATTGTGCATTTTTTTATATATTTTGTCTATGTCTACTTCGTTTTTTTTGAGAAAAAATGTTGGGGAGAGTGGGTGCCGCACCAGCTGAGCGACACAAACAAGGCAACACGAGTGGCAATGGCCGGAATTTTTCTTCGTCGCTCCAAGAACAGCGGTTTCTTCGACTCTATTGTTACATCAGATGAGACATGGATCTGCTACGACAACGCAACGCGTTACGCGCGGAAAAGACAGTGGTTAGACGCCGGTGGCACTCCGAAACCGGATGTACACGGCAAAAAGGTGATGCTCTGTATTGGTGGAAGCAAAGGTTCGGTGTATTCCGAAGTTCTCGGGTCAAACAGTTACGGTTAACAGACATATACAAAGATAAATTGAACCGCGTGGATTAAGCACTGCGTCGTCAAGGTGTCGAAACGGCGTCGAAAAATTCCTCCACGAGAACGCTGGTCCACTGTCGCGAAAATCACTTTGGAAGAAAATTGAGGAATGGGGCTGGAAAGCCCTGCCTCATCCGCCATACAGCCCAGACCTGGCACCATCCGACTACCATCTGTTCCGGTCGATGCAGTACTCCCTGGCCGAGAGAAAGCTCACAAACCGTGAAGAAGTCCAGCTCTGGGTGTCCAACTTCTTTGAGTCGCAGCCGGCCGAGTTCTTCAAAAGAGAAATCCATTCTCTGCATAAACATCGGTAAGCATTGATAGTAAAGGAGATTATCTTTTGAATTGATCTTGTTTAATTTCGTTTTTATGGTAAAAAGTTTTTTAGATTCAAACGCGCATTTCTTTCCGAACAACCTAATATATGCTGTTTTTTCGGCATCTTGCTTACAACCGTTACGACATGCTGAATGGGAGAACTGTCTACCGTTCTTTTTTGTTCAAAAAAAATGAAACATCGGCCTGCATGACACTAGCGCCTACACTAGAACGTTTTGCTCAAGTCTAAAAAAAAGCTGTGCATAAGCTCTCACCAACTGTGATAATAACTCCACCATCCTCCTTGAAAGTAGCTGCTGCCACTGAAGGGTCGTTGTAGTTTCCTCTCCTAAAAATATCTTTATTGGGGGCCGTATGCTATACTCCCCTCAAAGGGAGATATCCCCTGTAAATCTTCAATCCCTGCCGTCTGCCAATCTCTGCTAATGCCTCTGGCCCTCACCGCTCTGCATTCATACTCTTTTGGCGCATGCTCTGTGCGAATATAGTGCAGCGCAGAGTATGATCGATATGCTTCCCTCTCCCCCAGCGCATGTCGTTGGGGGACACTCCGCGAGAGTGGGGGAGACATAGATGCAGAGAGGCAGAAACAGAGAGACGAGGGGCATTAATGGAGATAACAGCAGAGAGCGGAGATTTGGTGGGGGAAATCTCCCCTTCGAGGGGAAGTATAGCATACGACCCCAGCTGGTTGTTGTTTAAGCAGCAACGGTAACTGCAGATGTATCTCGTTGTGACCAGCGCGAAGTGGTCAGCGCTCTCTGTCGGAGACCCAGAGCCTTTTAACACAAGCTTCACGCTTATTTAATTACCTATTCACTTATTTATTCATCATTGTGTAGAATATTGCGTTATAGAATGCACAATAATACAGTGAAAAACACGTTCGCAACAGATACAACCAAGTAGAAATATCTCTGAACCTCCAGTTTTAGAAATCCTGAATGCTTAACGAGGTCTTTGACAACCTTCTTTAGTTTTCTTGTGGACTTATAGGTGTTAGGAGCCTTCTGCAGGTCTGATAGTAGCAATCTGAGGTATCGCGCTCCGCGGGAAAATAGAGGCTTGAAACTGGTTCGGTGGCTTTCGTGCAATTCAGGTCACTGCAAGGACTATGAGAAGAGGTGACCATTTGCCTGAACATCCGGTATTTACTGTGTTTCAATATTAGCTCTCCTTTCAATATGAACAGAACACAACGTCATTCAACTCTCGTCCATATGTTAATGACTTGAGGTTAAAAAATGTAAGCGTTCATTGTAGGGTAAATTACGTGGGTACTCAGGACTGAGATAACACGATACTTTATGAGTCTCGTAAAGGTTTGCTGCAGTTTTCAATTTTTGCTTGAAACTTTAGTGTGGGAGCTCCATATCTGCTAATGGGGATGACACATGCTTTACAGAGCTTCAGTAGAATTGAATAATCGTTCTGTCGAACATTCCTGAAGATTTCAAAGAAAAAGCTCATAAAAACTTCACGAACAATTGCAACAATTGTGATAAGGCAAATCTAAAATAGAATTTTTGGCACTATTCACCCTTTACTGCCCCAACCATCCAGAATTGAGCCAGTTTCTGACTATTTTTCTCCATGAACAGATTTGGTTCAAATGTTGTTTCCTGGAGTATTTTGACCTCCTGAATACGAATATTACAGCTTAGTCCGAAACTTCCTGGCGCGTCACAAGCGCTGGTGATTTGGGATATCTTGGCGTCTGCCTGTAGCGCGAGAGCCAGGAGGCTTCAGGTCCAGCGATGTGGTATTCGTGTTCAGGAGGTCAGATACCCCTGAGAACAAGTTTTTTGCAAATTTGGTGATTTGAGGTATTTTGGCACCGGCGCCCATGGCGCGGGCGCCAGGAGGTTTCGTGCCTAGCGGATGCGATATTCATGTTCAGGAGGTCAAACTACCCCAGGAAACAGATTTTCAGCCAATTCTGCCATCGCAGAAAAAAAGTCGGTTAAAAACTGGCTTGTTTTCGGAAGATTGGGACAGTGAAGGGTAAATAGTGCCGAATTTTTGAGTAACCCGAGGTCGCCGACTTCTAATACTAAGTGAGGTGTCGTTGACTCGGTACGATACAACTCTGGCTTTTCCCATATGAGGAACGGAGGTTTTCAACAAACTAAAAAGCGGTAGCCCACTATATTAGCTGCATTTGCGAGATGATCCGTATCATCTTCAAAGTGTACGGGTACACATTTCTGGATGTCCACACACCCTATAACCCTATATCACCTATCCTTACCATATATCATATAATATATATATATTATATATAATAATATATATTATAAATATATATATATATATATATATTATATATATATATATATATATATATATATATATATTATATATTATATATATATATACATAAAATATAATATATATCATACCACAGTGGGCGGGCACTCGCCGAATTTTCGGGGTGCCGCAGGAAAATTATAATTCGCTTACCGGAGCAGCCTTAAAGATGGCGCGAAAAGGGAGTTAAGTCGGAGGTAAGAGAGTCGCCAGACTTAACTGTGGTAGAGAGCAGGGACAATAATGTGCGGGCGCTTGCTCATAGGCTGGGACAGTGGTACTTCTCCCCAAAATTCAAGCAGTCGCGTTCGCGAGAGTGTTCGGAAGTCGCCAAAAAATATCATTGTATAGAATGGTGAACATCTGGCGAATATAGAGCACGCTCAAAGTTATGTTGAAGACCGCCCCCAGTAGCACGGAGTGCTCTTTACATCGCAGTCGTAGTCATTTTCAAAGTTTGCTTTAGCCTGGTTCCAGAACACTCACAGACATCGCGCAAAAAGGTCTAAGTCAGCACGAGGGTCGCCTGGTAAATATTAGTTAGTGGCAAAAACAATTGTGTGCGGAGGCCTGCTCCGAGGTGGGCGGAGCCAGGCGAAAATCTCTAAAATTGTCCCAGAGCATTTCAAAGACCCGGAATGAAGTGAATACAGGTCAGCAAGGGGGTCGCGATTGAAAATTGGGGTATACATATTGTGGCGGGGCCAGCCCCAGGTGTGGAAGCCAGACGAAAATTCTCTACTGTCCCAGAGAACTTCAAAGAACACGGAAAAAAAAACGTGGATTAAGGTCAGCAGAGGTCGCCGTTAAGATTGTAGGGCAAAAACATTGTGTGCGGAGCCTGCTCCGAGATGGGCGGAGCAGACAAAAAGGTCTGTAAAACGGTTCCAGAAGCCACTTCAAAGACCGGAAAAAGACGTGGGATTAAGGTCAGCAGAGGGTCGCCGTGGAGAAAGTGTGGGCAAAAACATTATGGCGGGGCCTGCTCCGAGTGGGCGGAGCCAGGCGAAAATCCTCTAAAATTGGTCCCAGAGCACTTCAAAGACCGGAATGTAACGGTGAATACAGGTCAGCAAGGGGTCGCCGGTGAAGATTGTAGGGCACAAACATTGTGGGCGCGACCTGCTCCGAGGTGGGCGGAGTCAGACGAAGAATCTGTAAACCAGAGTACTTCAGACACCGGAAAAAAAGTGGAGTACAGAGCAAAAGGCGGATATCAGTTGTGTCTAGAAATATGTGAAAGAAAATACGCGCAGCGAAGCTCGCCCGCCCCGCGCAGCCGGGCCGTATCAGAAGGAGGCGCGCCGGCGTTAGCCGGTTAGCCGACTGGTTCAACATAAGCGTCGAGATCCCGCACCGGAGAGCATGAACGGCGAAGTCTTCGTCGCTGCTTGGTGTGGAGGAGAGCTGCTCCAGAAACAAACGATACAGGTAGAGCTCCAAATGACGCTCAGCTACCACTGTCATCTGGTTTCATTTTCGTGCACTTTTAACTAATGAAATGGCCCACTCCTATAGCTGCTAACCCCTTTACCACGCGAGGATGAAACTCTCTAATGTGATTGTACGGTGCATCTGCAAATAGAGGTGCAGTAAAATCTAGGATAGCTCCTAGAAAGAGGTATAAGTAGTTGGGCTGGTACAAAACTCACTCAATAGCCGATGCAATAATTACAATCACTTTTCTAGCGTTTGGTCGATGATGGACGCTGTCGAAGCCGGCGGTTGCCAGTCGGATAGCCCTACGAAGTCAAATGTTAACAGCTGTTCAGTTATGTGCTCTGCACAATGATCTAGATTTTACGCCTCAATATTTGTCCCTCTTGTGCCATGGAAACGTAGGTCCAGTGTATCCAGCAAATCATTAGTGGATTTCCAGTAGTTCAAGTCATGATGCATCTGGGCATCTGCTCCATACGTTATGAATCTGGAAGGTCGTGGGACATTTTTTCTCACCGATATTGTTTTATTGACAGTGAAACCACCGGGAGATAAAGAACTAGTGGCTAATGAGGTACGAAAAACCTCACCCCACACGTGTCTGCTGACCCATCGCTTGTCCCACTGTCATTCCATACAAAACGGATTTGACATAAGCTATCACCTGACAAGTTACGATTTAGAACGTAGCGTAACGTAGCGTAACGTAACGGTAACGTAACGATCTACTTCTTGCTGGCCATTCTTGCTCTTTAACAGCAGAAAACTGCTCAATCAAACGTCTATAAAATTCGAAACTCTGCACTAACGCAGTCAAAGCCGCTGCTTGTCATCGCCGACGAAGAGTCAATGATAAAGAAAACATCAAGCCAAATAGATGCTGTAGTGCACGGACAATCATGAGATATAGGCTTCTGGTATTCAACTTTGGACGTCTCCTATAAAAGATCAATTCTTCATAAGATGGGCACCTCTGAGTTAACCTTTGAATTACTGAAATGTTCATAAAGCAGAGAAATCGGCATCATTCTGTCATCATTCTGAATTCTATCATGAAGACAGTGTAGGAAGTACTAATAGCAATGATGCTTACTAATATTGAAACTAAAATTGCTACCTGCATCTCACAAGCTAGTTATGAGCAAGCAAAGAAACTTATTGAAGAGTGGTCACTAGTGGTCTGTAGCGTGGACGCTAGGCGTTTTCTCGTCAAACGGATGTGATATCCTTGTTCACAAAACTTCGAAAAATTCCTCTGAAGGGTAAAGGTAGTGGTAGCATCTGAAGAGCTTATCATTGCGCAACTCATAATTCTTCTATAATGAATACATGTGATCGAAGAAGAAAACTTGGAAGATGGAAGGACAATAGTCATCGCGCTCGCAAAAGTGTTATGAGCTGCGATTACAGAGCTTGAGTAGAGCTTCCATTGAAATAACCACACTGTAGAAACTAACTTGCAACTGAGAGGTGAAGGTGCTTCAGTTGCCCTACGACGCTTGTCATGTCACGTATTCGACTGGCTCTTGCTTCATAACGCTACTGTGGAAAGATATGAAGAAATGAGGATCAGAGCTTTCATAGGCAATTGTGCAAATGTTTACGTAGTAATAGGGACTAATCCCAGCTAATGCTGCCGCTTCCGAACCTAGAGACTTACCGTTGCGCGTTCTCTCGAGCAAATCTCTTCATGTGCCGTATTTGTTATGCATAAGCATCACAATATTGCAAACTTTAATAGTTCGAACCCTTTTGCTAGATGCAGGTGACAGTTCCGCTTTCCTTACCTGTTAATAGTGTTCGAGACCATACCTACCTATATCATGGTCTCTATTCAAAGTTCCATGGTAAGCTGGCGAACCGTTCCGGTAAGTTGATGTTAAACGTGTTCGGCTAGAGTAATTAGATGTATCGTAATTACGGCTGACGGCCATTACTGGCGATCCTATGAATTGATCAACTAACAAAATATCTAGTTCACTTGGCCTCATATAACAGACTCATGAGGTAGATTCGGGGATACCTTGAGTATACTACCTATTTTGCGCTATGAAGTTTCCCTTACTAATGTTACGTCCCTAATGTTCGAAAGCTTACCACGCTTCTGGATAAACCGTTCGTTCGCCGAAATTTCAGCAGTTCAGCGTCGAAAGACGCGTTTCGATGATGCCACAGGTATCAGAATGAACAGAATATCTTTACATTCCAGCACATTTTGCAGAGTAACGTTAAGAATTGATGACGTATTTGTTTGTTACGGGCTCTCATCGGACCCCTTTGGACAAAATACGCACCTGGCCATTCCACTTTTTTGAAGAAACTTCTAGGAGTGAGCGTTTCTGATTATGCTTTCTATCGGAAGGCAGTAAAACGTGTCGCCTTATAGCACAGGCCTTTGTTACTTGAACCATCATGAATTAGCCGCGAAAAAGGCGAGCTGTAGACTTACTCTAAAAACATTACATTGGTCATCCACGACGTAGGTGTTCTCCTATTGTCCTTCCTATATTAGCTTGCTGGGACAGCGTCGTATAAGTTTCGCGGCGCGCGCTCCCTTTCGTGGCTGTTGCGGTTATAGCGCCCTTAGCAACTCTTACTCAGCTTGCATATCACCTTCCGTCACCAAAGTACAGGTACCCGTGTCACTTATATGTCTGAACGCGTCATCTGTGGCTGAGCACAAGGAGCTTCGATACCTTTGTCTAACAACACGTACAATACATACACACGCATCAACAGTTCAACTGGGCAGGTTATATTCAGTAAGATGCCCCCTTCGCGGTGTCGATATTGGTGGTCCGTTCTATTGCATTGTTGGTTTGTCGCGTAGGTCGGTCTGCTCTCATCTGCACTTCAGAATGGCAATAAGAATAAAGAAAGGGAAGAAGAGAAATCGCGGCCGTATTAAAGTGGCGAATATGCATCCGTTTATCGCCATCATTTATAAATACGGGCTACGGTGTGGTTGATCCGTGCTTGTGTGCTGTGTGTGTGTGTGTGTGTGTGTGTGTGTGTGTGTGATTGGTGTGTGTGTGTCGTCGTGTGTGTGTGTGTGTGTGATTGCCGTCTGTCTTTTTGTCACGAAATTCACGAGCACCTGAAGAAGGACCTGCAGGCGTCGGCGTGCATGTTGGGGATGGACAGAGCTATGGGACAAAACCTACATTAGCGGCCATGACTCATGGTGCCCCGCCCAACAGTGGGCGGTGCGCGTGACCGTCGAAGGTTAGCGATTTTCACACTGAAAAGAATCATAGACTCGGTTTCCACGGCAGATCCCAGATGATGAGAGAAACGGCGTCGCCGTAAAAGGAGACACACCCGAGATGGGCGGGGCGTACTCGAGAAGAGCGGCGGTTCTGTCACTGAAAAATAGCTATAACTTGGCTACAAAGCAGCCCGGGGACAGGAAAAGCTGGGATAAGGTTAGCATGGGGTTGGCAGAGCAAATGGAGGAGACACACTCAAAATGGGCGAGGCGTACTTGAGGTTTCCGAAAATGTTTAGAGATCGCAGAAAAGAACATGACGAAGATGAACATCTGGCAAGAGTCCGCCATGAATGCGGCATGCTGAGGTCGGCCCACAGTGGGCGGGGCTTGCATTTGAACGCGAAGTACCAGTGTAAAAAAACCGTAGTTTGGTCCTAAAGCACTACAGATGGCAATAAAGTGGACTATTGCCTCCCGACTGATCACATGCAGGAATTTGCGAGGCACTCGCATTGCGGGCGGAGCGTGCGCCGAGGTGGGCGGAGCCAATCCAAAAAGTTCGTAAAACGCTTCCAGAGCACTCCAGACACCGGGAAAAATAGTTTAAGATCAGCGAGGGGTCTTCGGTGGAGAAAGGCGAGGCACTCGCATTGTGGGCGGAGCCTGCGCCGAGGTGGGCGGAGCCAGTCTAAAAAAATTCGTAACGCTTCCAAAGCACTCCAGAGACCGGGAAAAAATAGTTCAAGAGGGTCGTCGGTCGAGAAGCGCGAGGCATACGTTGTGGGTGGAGCCAAATTGAGATCCTAAACACTCGAGACACCGGCAAAAAGTAGTTTGGGATCAGCGAGGTCATCGGTTCACAAGCGTGAGGCACCCCGCTGTGGGGGGGACGAATTTTAAAAATTCCTGAAACGGTTCCTGAATGCTCTAGACACCGGGAAAAAGTAGGTCATCGAGGGGTCACCCGTTCACAGTTGTGAGGCATACCCGTTGTGGGTTTAACGTGCGTCGAGCTGGGCATGGCCAACCCTAAGGTTTCTTCAAGCGGTTCCAGAGCGCTCCAGGCCTCCTTTGTGATACGGCCCAGCTTTGCACGGCGTGTGGTCCATCGCGCCTGCCTCCATTCGTGTGATCAAATGCTCCACTGATAACCGGTTTCCTCTCATCTGTCCACTTGATCAACGCTCCTTTTTACAATGCGTACACCATAATAGTGTTGAAAATAG